TGTTGACCCAAGATCCCAAGATCCTTTTACTATTGTTTGAGGGCAAGGGTTATGTTTTATTTGACATACTCCATGCTTATTTGTTGAATAAACAGGTTAAAATATCCCATGTATTTTTAAAAATTCATTTAACAGAATCAAGCCATAGGAAATCAGCTTTAGAAAGATTCTAATCTAACCCTTTCATTTAATTAAGAAAACAGGTTGGCCATGGTGACTCACACCTTGAATCCCAGCACTTTGGGAGGCCTAGGTGGGAGGATTGCTTGAGGCCCAGAATTAAAGACCAGACTGTGCAACATAGCTAGACCCCTTTTTAAAAAAAAATTTTTTTTTTAATTAGCCAGGCATGGTGGTGTGCACCTGAAGTCCCAGCTACGTGAGAGGCTGAGAGGCTGAGGGAGGAGGATCACTCTGGTTCAGGAGTTGGAGGCTGCAGTGAGAAAAATATTGGGTGGGGGTGGAGAAGAATTAAAGAGTTGAATCAAATTCCTATTAGATATGACATTCAAATTGTATTTTATTTTTTTATTTTTTGACATGTTCAAATTTTTTAAAAATTTAAAGGGGTACCCTTAAAAGCTCAATTGACAAGATAAATAATATAACACAATCTTTTGAAAAATCAAAAGTATAGGCCAGGTACGGTGGCTCACACCTGTGATCCTAGCACTTTGGGATGCCAAGGTGGGTGGATAGCAAGGTCAGGAGTTCAAGACCAGCCTGATCAACATGGTGAAAGTCTGTCTCTACCAAAAATACAAAAATTAGCTGGGCATGGTGGTCCCAGCTGCTCGGGATGCTGAGGCAGGAGAATCACTTGAACCTGGGAGGTGGAGGTTGCAGTGAACTGAGATTGTGCCGGTGTACTCCAGCCTGGCAACAGGGCGAGATTCCATCTCAAAAAAAAAAAAATCAAAAGTATAATTGGCCCTCTGTATCTGTGGGTTTTGCATCTAGGAATTCGACCGACTATGGATTGAAAATATTTGGAAAAGCTGGATGCAGTGGTGTGTGCCTGTAGTCCCAGCTACTTGGAAGGCTGAGGCAGGAGGATGCCTTGAGCCCAGGAATTCAGCCTGGGCAACAGGGTGAGATCCTGTCTTTTTTTTTAAAGACTAAATCTCGTCTGTCACCAGGCTGGAGTACAGTGGCAGGATCTTGGCTCACTGCAGCCTCCGCCTCCTGGGTTCAAGCGATTCTCTTGCCTCAGCCTCCCAAGTAGCTGGGACTACAGGCGAGTGCCAGCATGCCCAGCTCATTTTTGTATTTTTAGTAGAGACAGAGTTTCACCATGTTGGCCAGGATGGTCTCGAACCCTTGACCTTATGATCCGCCTGCCTTGGCCTCACAAAGTGCTGGGATTACAGGTGTGAGCCACTGAGCCTGGCCTTGAGACCCTGTCTTTTGGTTGTTGTTGATTGTGTGTGTGTCCTTCCTTCCCTCCTTCCCTCCCTCCCTCCCTCCCTCCCTCCTTCCTTCCTTCCTTCCTTCCTTCCTTCCTTCCTTCCTTCTTTCTTTCTTCCCTCCCTCCCTCCCTCCCTCCCTTCCTTCCTTCCTTCCTTCCTTCTTTCCCTCCTTCCTTCCCTCCTTCCCTCCTTCCCTGTTTCCTTCTTTTTCTTTGAAACAGGGCCTCACTCTGTTGGCCAGGCTGGAGTACAGTGGTGTAATCATGGTTCACTGCAATCTTGATATCCCAGGCTCGAGCAATCCTCCCACCTCAGGCTCCTGAAGAGCTAGGACCACAGGTGCATGCCACCATGCCCAGCTAATTTTAAAAACATTTTTTGTAGAGACTGGGTCTCACTGTATTTCCCAGGCTGCTGTTGAATTCCTGGCCTCAAGCCATCCTCCCACCTAAGCCTCCCAAAGTGCTGGGATTACAGGCATGAGCCATGGTACCTGTCTCTTAAATTAAATTTTAAGGCCAGGCACCATGGCTCATGCCTGTAATCCAGCACTTTGGGAAACCGAGGCAGGTGGATCACCTGCGGTCAGGATTTGAGACCAGCCTGCCCAGCATGGCAAAACCACATCTCTACTAAGAATACAAAATTAGCTTGGCACGGTGGTGCACACCTGTAGTCTCAGCTACTCAGGAGACTGAGGCAGGAAAATCGCTTGAACCTGGAAGGCAGAGGTTGCCGTGAGCTGAGATTGTGCCACCGCGCTCTAGCCTCAGTGACAGAGTGAGACTCTGTCTCAAAAAAAACAAAAACAAACAAACAAAAAATTAAGTATACGGGAACACCTGTAGTTCCGGCTATTCGGGAGGCTGAGGCAGGAGGATCACTTAAGCCTCGGAGATGGAGGCCGCAGTTGTATTACTATGCTCCACCCCCATCTCTAAAAATAATGGTAACAATAATAATAACGTATACAGGAGGCTATGTATAGGTTATATGCAAAGACTGTGCTATTTCCTATGAGGGACTGGAGCATCTGTGGCCTTTGGTATCTGCAGGGGTGAAGGGAGGGGAGGGGAGAGGAAAGAGCCTCCCGGGCACAGAAAGCAGCAAGTGCAAAGGCCCCAGAGGGGAATGAGGTTGGCGGGTCTACAGAACAGAAAGGCAGTTATGAGGCTAGAGCTCTGGAGACCGTGTCAAATAAAAAGGGCCGTCAGGCCGGGCGCCGCGGCTCACACCTGTAATCCCAGCACTTTGGGAGGCCGAGGCAGGCGATTGCCTGGGGTCAGGAGTTTGAGACCAGCCTGGCCAACATGGTGAAACCCCATCTCTACTAAAAATACAAAAATTAGCCGGGCATGGTTGTGGATGCCTGTCGTCCCAGCTACTCAGGAGGCTGAGGCTGGAGAATTATTTGGACCGAGGAGGCAGAGGTTGCAGTGAGCCGAGATTGCGCCACTGCACTCCAGCCTGGGCGACAGAGTGAGACTCTGTCTCAACAAAGAAAAAAAAAAAGGAGCAGTCACTAGGTGCCCCTTGGTGTATGACTCCCGTGGGTATGATATGCCCAGAACAGGCTAGTCCACAGAGACAGGAGGCAGATTCGTGGTGGCCAGGGGCTAGGGGAGGGGAGTGGGGAGTGACTGCTGATGGGGACAGGGTCTCCTTTTCGGGGGGTTGCAGATGTTCTGGAATGAGATAGAGTGATGTTTGCATAAAACTGTGAATGTGCTAAATGCCACTGAATTGTTTGTTTGAAATGATTAATACAATAGGCCCGGGCGGTGGCTCATGCCTGTAATCCCAGCTATAAATAGTTGTTATTCTGTGTTGTTTCGGGGTTAATGACAGTAAAGGTCTGTGAATGTTTAGTCCAGGTGCAATTATTTATTTTTTCCCAAATATATTCTTTTAAAAAATGTTATTTATTTTAAGAGATGGGGGTCTTAAAATTAATAAATTAATTAATTGATTGATTGATTGAGATGGAGTTTCACTCTTTTTGCCCAGGCTGAAGTGCAGTGCTGTGATCTCTGCTCACTGCAACCTCCACCTCTTGGGTTCAAGTGATTCTCCTGCCTCAGCCCCCCGAGTAGCTGGGATTACAGGCACGCACCACCACGCTTGACTAATTTTGTATTTTTAGTGGAGACAGGGTTTGGGAGACTGAGGCAGATGGATCACTTGAGGTCAGGAGTTCAAGACCAGCCTGGGCAACATGGTGAAACCCCAACTCTACTAAAAATACAAAATTAGTTGAGTGCGGCAGTGCAAGTCTGTAATTCCAGTTACCTCGGGAGGCTGAGGCAGGAGAATCACATGAACCTGGGAAGGGGAGGTTGCAGCGAGCCGAGATCACGTCACTACACTTCAGCCTGGGCCACAGAGTGAGACTCTGTCTAAAAAAAAAAAAAAGATTAACGTGATTAAAAAAAAAGAGGATGACTCTTTTTTGAGGTTACGGAAATGTTCTGAACTTAGTCTGGGGCGATGGTTGCATAGCTGCGTGAACACACTAAAAACCACTGAATTGCACCATTGTAGATTAAATGGGTGTGGTTGTAAATTGTCTCCCTATAGAGGTGTTAAGGATATTTTATCATTTCAATCAAAGTATGTACCGGCCGGGCGCGGTGGCTCAAGCCTGTAATCCCAGCACTCTGGGAGGCCGAGGTGGGCGGATCACCTGAGGTCAGGAGTTCGAGACCAGTCTGGCCAACATGGTAAAACCCCGTCTCTACTAAAAATACAAAAAAAATTGCCAGGCATGGTCATAGGCACCTGTGATCCCAGCTACTGGAGAGGCTGAGGCAGGAGAATTGCTTGAACCAAGGAGGTGGAGGTTGTAGTGAGCCTAGATCACGCCACTACATTCCAGCCTAGGCAACAAGAGCGAAGCTTCATCTCAAATAATAATAATCAGGCCGGGCGCGGTGGCTCAAGCCTGTAATCCCAGCACTTTGGGAGGCCGAGGCGGGTGGATCACGAGGTCAAGAGATCGAGACCATCCTGGTCAACATGGTGAAACCCCGTCTCTACCAAAAATACAAAAAATTAGCTGGGCATGGTGGCGCATGCCTGTCATCCCAGCTACTCAGGAGGCTGAGGCAGGAGAATTGCCTGAACCCAGGAGACGGAGGTTGCGGTGAGCCGAGATCACGCCATTGCACTCCAGCCTGGGTAACAAGAGCAAAACCCCGACTCAAAAAAAAAAAAAAAAAAAATAATCATCATCATCATGATAATATTAAAAGGCTGGTCATGGTGTCTCATGCCAAGTGCTGGGATTACAGGCATGAGACACCATGACCAACCTTTTGGGAGGCTCGGGTGGGTCGATCACTTGATACCAGGAGTTCAAGGCCAGCCTGGCCAACATAGTAAAACCCTGTCTCCACTAAAAATACAAAAAATTAGCCAGATATGGCAGCAGGCGCCTGTCATCCCAGCTACTTGGCGAGGCAGAGGTTGCAGTGAGCCAAGATCACACCACTGCACTCCAGCCTGGGTGAGACAGAGATTCTGTCTCCAAAAAAAAAAAAAAAAGAGAGGATTACATAAATGTTTTGAAATAATTATCCTTGGTTACAAAGATCAATAATAAGGGTGCGGCTAGACAGGCAGTTGCTGGGCAGTTGGTCCTGCAGATGTATTTTTTTCTGTAAGTTTGCAATAGCCTTTGTGCAAAGTTGTGATATTTGTAGTCTTTTCTGCTATCAGACATACAAGTGTGAGAACTCTTTCTTCGCAGCCCTCCTTCTTAGCCTCTGTTTGTCAGGGGTTTCTTAACATTAGTGACTCCATTTTTATTCTGATAACTTTCACAATTCAATTCCATCCATCTTTTCTTTGGTAAACCAGGGTATTTCCAAACTGGTTTGGACAAGCATTTTGATAGTTGCAAGGTCAAAGTGTTCCCAGCTCATATACTCTCCCCCACCTTGGCCTGCCGCAGGAGAGGTGAGGTGCTTGAAAGTATTTGCCAAAGGGACCCTTGCCATCTCTGCTTCGAAGGATCACACACTGCGCTTGTGGAACTTACTCTCTGGCCAGGAGAAATTTACCATTTGGGATGGAAGCTCAAAAAATCTCACGGGACCTCAGATCTGGAGCCTTCATGTGGATGAAGCACACAAAGTTGTGTATTCGGCATCTGGCTCAAAGGTAACAAATACCTGCCCTGTTTGTAAAGGAAAGCTGAGACCAGAACATTCAAAGACAGAAGAGGCCATTTATATAAGGAGGAGCTCCCTGATACAGTGGTGGGGTGGGGTGTAAACAGTGTACACAACCACTTGAGAGGGTGCTATAAAAGGTTTCAGACTTGCCGAGCACAGTGGCTCATGCCTGTAATCCCAGCACTTTGGGAGGCCAAGGTAGGCGGATCACCGGAGGTCAGTAGTTCAAGACTAGCCTGACTAACACAGTGAAACCCCATCTCTGCTACAAATACAAAATTAGCTGGGGGTGAACCCAGGAGGCAGAGGTTGCAGTGAGCCAAAATTGTGCCATTGCACTACAGCCTGGGCAACAAGAGTGAAACTCCACCTCAAAAAAATAAAAATAAAAAGAGGTTTCAGACTTCATAGTTGGATTCGATAATCCTGATAGTTCTTCCTGACCCCAAGATTTGAAACCTTTCATCTTTTTTGAATATCAGCATCTTAGGGCTATAAATTTCCCTCAAAGTACTGCTTTACCTACATCATGTGCATTTTGGCATGTATTTTCGTTTACATACATTTTAAAATGCTTTCAGATTTCACTTTTGATGTTTTTCTTTGATACATGGGCTACTTAAAACTGTGCTATTAGTTTCCAGATATTTGAAGAATTTCTAGATAGCGTCCTGTTTTTTATTTTTTTTCTAATTAAATTTGATTTGTATGAGGTAAAACCTTTCAAATTAACTGAGACTTGTTTTACAGTCTGTCTCTTTTCTCTCTCTCTCACTCTATTTTTTTCTTCTTTTTGTTTTTTTTTTCTTCACATCCAATCTTAAAGTTATACCTGATTTTTTTTCTTTTTTTTTTTTTGAGATCAAGGTCTGCTCTATCACCCAGGCTGGAGTGCAGGGGCACCATCTTGGCTCACTGCAACCTCTACCTCCCAGGTTCAAGCAATTCTCCTGGCTCAGCCTCCTGAATAGCTGAGACTACAGGGGTGTGCCACCATGCCCAGCTAATTTTTGTATTTTTAGTAGAGACAGCATTTCACCATGTTGGCCAGGCTGGTCTCAAACTCCTGACCTCAGGTGAACTACCTGTCCCAGCCTCCCAAATTGTTGGGATTACAGGCCTGAGCCACCATGCCCAGCCTGTTGTGTAGTCTCTCTGAATGTTCCGTGGGCTTCTGAAATCAGTCTATTCCACTGTGTTATTCCATTATATCGATCATAACCCTATGATTTCATAGTTTTATACATGGAGACACCAATAGCATTGTGGGTAATAGCTTAGTAACTTAATGCCAGGAGGAAAAAATCTTTAACTCCCAGTTGAGTTTCTTGGGAACTGAGTGACCCTGGTCATGTCATTCACCATTCTGAGTCTCATTGCTTCCTATTTGTCGTAAGATCATGAGACATATCCTGGCATGGTGCTTAGCACACGGTAAGCACCAAATAACTGATATCCATCCATTATGACGTTACGTGAGTAATTAGTGGTTGTTGACAGTAACATAAATCAGTAATATAAATCATGCCACCTGAAACAGGAGTTGCCAACCAGATGTAGCTATTAAACACTTGAAATTTGGGGGGTGGGGAGGGGCAAGGGGACGGAGAACATTAGGACAAATACCTAATGCATGCAGGCCTTAAAACCTAGATGACAGGCCAGGCGCGGTGGCTCACGCCTGTAATCCCAGCACTTTTGGAGGCTGAGGCAGGTAGATCACCTGAGGTCAGGAGTTTGAGACCAGCCTGACCACCATGCCCGGGTAGTTCTCCATTAAAAATACAGAATTAGCCGGGCATGGTGGCACACGCCTGTATCCCAGCGACTCTGAAGGCTGAGGCAGAAGAATCGCTTGAACTTGGGAGGCGGAGGTTGCAGTGAGCCGAGACTGTGCCACTGCACTCCAGCCTGGGCAACAAGAGTGAAACTGCCATCTCAAAAAAACAAAAAAACCTAGATGAAGGGTTGATAGTCGCAGCAAACCATGATTGCGCCATTGCACTCCAGCCTGTGTGAAAAAGAGAAGCCCTATCTCTGAAAGAAAAGAAAATGCGTAAAGCAGATGAGCACGGATCTTGCATTTGACTCTGGGAAACTTGCAGTCTAGGTCGCCTGCCAAGATGTCGCTTCCTCTTCGTTATTCTATTAGATCAATGCTTGGAGTCTGGATACTGCAGAGCTGGTTTTCCGTATCCTGGGAGATGCCTCTGATCCTTGGATGTGCATGGCCGTGCTGGACTCCCAGTCCACGCTGCTGACAGTGTCCAGGGATGGTGTGGTCAGTCTGTGGAACTCAGCCACGGGAAAACTTCAGGGGAAGCAACACGTGTCCAGCATCAAAGAAACACCCGCCTGTGCTGTCTCAGTCCAGAAGCAAGGGAAGCTTGTGACCGGGTTTAGCAATGGCTCCATCTCTTTGGTAAGCACCTTTACTGACCATAATGTGAACATTAACTCAGCTTGAAAGTGCTCAGATGTGCTAGAGATTGGGAAAAATAATCTTGCCTCGTATCTTCTTTTTTTTTTTTTTTTTTGAGACAGAAAAAAAATTTCAATTCTCTTGCTGAGAATTAAAATTTCACTTAAAGTTTCACTCTTGGTGCCCAGGCTGGAGTGCAATGGTGCGATCTCATCTCACTGCAACCTCCGCCTCCCGGATTCAAGAGATTCTCCCGCCTCAGCCTCCAAAGTAGCTGGGATGACGGGCACCCACCACCATGCCCAGATAATTTTTTTGTATTTTTAGTAGAGACGGTGTTTCACCATGTTGGTCAGGCTGGTCTCGAACTGCAGTCCTCAGGTGATCCACCCACCTAGGCCTCCCAAAGTGCTGGGATTATAGGCATGAGCTACTGTGCCTGGTCATATCTTTTTAATAAATGACACTTAGCTGCTGCTGCTGCTTCTGCTTCCTCCTCCTCCTCCTCCTTCCCCCCTCCTCCTCCTCTTCTTTTTTCTTTCTTCCTCTTTCTCTTCTTCTCCTTTTTTTTCTTTTTTTTGAGACAGAGTCTCACTCTGTTGCCCAGGCTGGAGTGCAGTGATGAGATTACAGCTCTCTGTAGCCTCGACCTCCTGAACTCAAGTGATCCTCCTGCCTCAGCCTCACTGGTGTAAGCTATTACTCAGGCTAATTTTTTTATCTGTAGAGACAAGGTTTCCCTATATTGTCCAGGCTAGTCTCAAACTCCTGGGCTCAAGCGATCCTCCTGCCTTGACTTCCCAGAGCGCTGGGATTACAGGCATCAGCCACTATGCCCAGACAGCTTCTTTATTATTGTTATCAATTATTTTTAGAGACAGGCTCTTGCTCTGTTGCCCAGGTTGGAGTACAGCAGTGTGATCCTGGCTCCCCACAATCTTCAACACCTGGGCTCAACAGACCCTCTGGCTTCAGCCTCCCAAGGAGCTAGGAAGGTTACAGGGTGCACCACCACGCTCGGCTAATTTTTAAAACGCTTTTCATAGAGACAGGCTCTTACTATGTTAACTCTGTTACCCAGGCTGCTCTCAAGCTCCTGTTTCGGCCTCCCAGAGTGTTGGGATTCCAGGCGTGAGCCACCATGCCCAGCCCCAGCAGTTGGATTTGCAGTTCAGCACAGTTCAGGAAACATCCATTGGCGTTTCTTCATCAATTGCCCACATGGGGACTGACCCATGTGGGCAATTGATGAAGCTCAGTCCTTCAGGGGAGCTCTAAGACATGATATGAGGCCAGGCACAGTGGCTCACACCTGTAATCCCAGCACTTTAGGAGGCCGGGGCGGGTGGATCACGAGGTCAGGAGTTTGAGGCCAGCCTGACCAACATGGTGAAACCCTGTCTCTACTAAAAACACAAAAATTAGCTGGGCGTGGTGGTGGGTGCCTGTAATCCCAACTACTTGGGAGGCTGAGGCAGGAGAATCACTTGAACCCAGGAAGCAGAAGTTGTAGTGAGCCAAGATTGAGCCACTGCATTTCAGCCTGGGCAACAAGAGCAAAACTCCATCTCAAAAAGCAAAAACAAAAATTAGCCTGGTGTGGTGTTATGTGCCTGTGATCCCAGCTACTCGGGAGGCTGAGGCAGGAGAATTGCTCGAATCTGGGAGGCGGAGGTTGCAATGAGCGGAGATCTTGCCACTGCACTCCAGCCTGGGCAACAGAACGAAACAAAAACACATGTGCCAGGCATCCTGGTAAGGGGGGAAAGAGTTGCTAGGAGGTGTTTGCAGTGAGAAGCCTCAGGAATGGAGGAGAACGTGGAGGGCATATGGCGGGAATGCTAACAGCAAATTATGTAAGGAAATGTAATGGAGAAGCTTTGGCACCATGCTAGGCACTGGATGGGCTATAGAAACATAAGACCCCCTGCTGGGCGTGGTGGCTCACACCTGTAATCCCAGCACTTTGGGAAGCTGAGGCGGGCGGATGACCTGAGGTCAGGAGTTCAAAACCAGCCTGACCAACATGGAGAAACCCCATCTCTACTAAAAATACAAAAATTAGCCGGGCATGGCACACACCTGCAATCCCAGCTACTCGGGAGGCTGAGGCAGGAGAATTGCTTGAACCCCAGAGGTGGAGGTTGCGGTGAACTGAGATCATGCCATTGCACTCCAGCCCGGGCAATAAGAGCAAAACTCCGTCTCAAGAAAAAAAGGAATAGAGGTGAGATAGGAACATGCCTGGATATTAGGGGAAATCGAGGGAGTGTGGAGACAGATCAGAGAGGGTCTAGTCTACTCTGCTGAGGAGGAATGTGGCCACTAAAAAATCATGGGGTCCGGGCACAGTGGCTCACACCTGTAATCCCAGCACTTTGGGAGGCCGAGGTAGGAAGATCACTTGAGCCCAGGAGTTTAAGGCCAATCTGGGCAACATAGCAGGACCTCCCACCAAAAATACAAAACTTATCTGGGCATGGTGGTGCACACCTGTGGTCCCAGCTACTTGGGAGGCTGAGGTGGGAGAATCGCTTGAGCCCAGGAGGTCAAGACTGCAGTGAGCTGTGATTGCACCCCTGCACTCCAGCCCAAGTGACAGAAGAAGACCCTGTCTCAAATTTAAAAAAAAGAAATGAAACATAAGACCGCCTCCCCAACCCTACCGTCAAAGAACTCAACACAGGGAGGGAGCTGGGTTCATCAGTGACTTACAGTGGCACTAGAGGAACAGAGTCTGCTTTCAGTAGAGGTAGAAGCAGTACAGTCTCTGTTGGGTGAAGGATCAAATGCTTCTGAAAGGGATAATCTGGGAAGCCTCCCCAGAGGAGGCAGGCTTGGAACAAGAAGGACGTGAAAATGAGAAAAAGGGCTGGGCATGGTGGTACACGCCTGTAATTCCAGCACTTTGGGAGGCCGAGGCTGGTGGATCATGAGGTCGGGAGTTCAAGACCAGCCTGACCAACATGGTGAAACCCCATGTACTAAAAATACAAAAATTAGCCGGGCATGGTGGTACACTCCTGTAACCTCAGCTACTTGAGAGGTTGAGGCAGGAGAATCACTTACACCCGGGAGGTGGAGGCTGTGGTGAGCTGAGGTCATGCCACTGCACTCCTGCCTGGGAGACAGCGCAAGACTCCATCTCAAAAAAAAAAAAAAAAAATTCCCAGCTTTTAACCCATGGAAGTGCCTGACAGGCATCCTTGGCTCTGCACAGGTTTCCTCCGAAGGGGACAGATTGCTGGAGAAGCTTCCAGATGCTGTGAGGTTCCTGGTGGTGTCTGAAGATGAGTCTCTCCTCGCCGCAGGTAGTGTTTAGCTCTCGTCTGGAGTAGTGAGGAAGCCAATCAGGACGGGGTTGGAGAGGCGGGTGGGCTTGGGAACAGGGAGGGCTCCTAGGGCCAGAGGTCAGCAAATGTTTTCTGCCAAATGGCCTCATAGTAAACATTTTTTGCAGTCCAGACCAGCCATTCTCAGTTGCAAAGACTCAACTCTGCAGCTCTGGCACAAAAACTAGCATAGACACTGTGGTTTTTCTATTCTTTTTCTTTCTCTCTTTTTTTTTTTTCTTTTTTTGATACGGAGTTTTCGGTCTTGTTGCCCAGGCTGGAGCGCAATGGTGTGATCTCAGCTCACTGCAACCTCTGCCTACTGGGTTCAAGTCATTCTCCTGCCTCAGCCTCCGGAGTAGCTGGGACCACAGGCATGTGCCACACCATGCCCGGCTAATTTTGTATTTTTAGTAGAAATGGGGTTTCACCATGTTGGTCAGGCTGGTCTTGAATTCCTGACCTCAGGTGATTCAGGCACCTCAGCTTCCCTGGGATTACAGGCGTGAGCCACTGCACCTGGCCTTTTTGTTTTTTTGAGAAAGGGCATTGCTGTGTCACCCAGGCTGGAGTGCAGTGGCTCAATCATAACTCATTGCAGCCTTGAATTTCTGGGCTCAAGTGATCCTCCCACCTCAGCCTCCTGAATAGCTGGGATTACAGGGATACACCAACACACCCAGCTAATTTTTGTAATTTTAGTAGACACAGGGTTTCACCATGTTGGCCAGGCTGGTCTTGATCTCTTGACTTTGTGATCCACCTGCCTCAGCCTCCCAGAGTGCTGGGATTACAGGTGTGAGCTACCACACCAGGCCCTTTTGTTCCTTTTGATGTAGGATTTTTCTTGGCCTCTTTGCCAGACTGGCAGCAGGGGGCACCCCATCTTCTCAGCCAGCGGGGCCACATCTGGCTTGTGGTCCAGGCTGCAGCTCCCCTGGACACTGCTGTGACCAAGCACTCAGTGTAGGGTCCAGCTGGCTGCTCCAAGCACTCACACGGGGACAGGCTCCGTGCGGGGCCCACGGCCAGACCAGGTGTGTTGCCCCAAGGGAAACACAAGAGGCCTCTCAACCCTGAAGCCCCAGAGCGGGTGTTACAGTGTGCTAATTAGCTCTTACTTTTTGAGATGGAGTCTTGCTCTGTCACCCAGGCTGGAATGCAATGGCATGATCTTGGCTCACTGCAACCTCTACCTCCTGGGTTCAAGAGATTCTTGTGCTTCAGCCTCCCAAGTAGCTGGGATTACAGGCACCTGCCACCATGTCCTACTAATTTTTGTATTTTAGTAGAGATGGGGTTCCACCATGTTGACCAGGCTGGTCTTAAACTCCTGACCTCAGGTAATCTACCTGTTTCGGCCTCCCAAAGTGCTGGGATTACAAATGTGAACCACCACACCCAGCCTAATTTGCTCTTTTAGTTCCATCGTCCACAACCCAATGGATGGCCACATGTTAGCAGCCCAGTCAGCCCCTTGCGTCATTCTGGTCCACAGTTCTGGGACTGGCTTGGTCCTACCTCTGCTTCTATTGCATGGGGCAGCTGCCCTCTGCCAGCAAGCACAGAGGGCCACAGTGTTACAGCCTTTCTGGGTACCTGCACTTGGTGAGTCCCGAGCTCTTGTCCCGTGTCCAAGAAGAATGAGGTCATACTGACAATTGAAAGATGATAAGGACAGAGAATTTTATTGAGCAATGAAACAGCTGTCAGACAAGAGGGGATGGGGAGGTCAGGTCATCTCTCTCAGTGTGGCTGAGTGTGGGAGTTTTTATAGGCACAGGATAGGGAAGGGGCAGGCTGTGAGTAGTATTGGAAAAGGTAACATTTGATTGGTTAAAAAACATTATTGAGGCCAGGTGCAGTGGCTCACGCCTGTAATCCCAGCACTTGGGGAGGCCAAGATGGGCCATCACCTGAGATCAAGAGTTCAGACCAGCCTGGCCAACATGGTGAAACCCTGTCTCTACTAAAAGTACAAAAATTAGCTGGGCATGGTGGTGGGTACCAGCTACTTAGGAGCCTGAGGTGGGAGAATTGCTTAAACCCAGGAGGTGCAGGTTGCAGTGAGCTGAGATCACAGCACTGCAAAAAAAAGTCTTTCTCAGAAAGAACCAATCAGGAAAGGGTGGGCAAACGGAAGCAGAAGTTCTCGCTCTGGGTTGCAGGTTTCCTTTGGGACCAGCGGTCCAAGCTATTTTTGGCTCAAAGGTACAGTTTGCCCAGGGACCCGTTCCTATCTGTCTAGGCATTTGCCTGCCTCCTCCTGCTTTCCCTTCTTTTCGACATTCTTTCTTTATTCTCTTTCCTCTCCTTCCTTCCTTCTTCCCCTTCTCTTTTCTCTCCTCCCTTCTTCCTTTCTTTTTTCCTCTTCTCGTCTCCTCCCTTCCCCTCTCCTCCCCTCCCCTCCCCGCCTTTCCCCTCTTTCCCCTCCACTCCTCTCCTCTCCTCCCTGCCTTCCTCCTTACTTTTTTCTTCCTCTCCTCTCCTCCCCTCCCCCTTCCCCTCCCCTCTTCCCCCTCCTTCTCCCCTTCCCTTTCCCCCTCCTTCTCCCCTTCCTCTCCCCCCTCCCCTCCCCCATCCTTCTCCCCTTCCTGTCTCCCCTTTCCCCCCTCCCCTCCCCCTTTCCCCTCCCCTCCCCTCTCTCCCTCCTCCTTTCCTTCCATCATATTTATCAAAGGCCTACTGTGTGCCCAGCTTTGTACTAGTTTCTGAGATACCATGATGAGCCAAACAAGCAGTCCCTACCCTCCAGGAACTTACAGTTACATTATAATAATGTTACAAGTTTCCTTAAGATGAGTGATTACTGGCCAGGCGTGGTGGCTCATGCCTGTAATCCCAACACTTGGGGAGTCCAAAGTAGGCAGATCACTTGCGGTCAGGAGTTTGAGACCAGCTTGGCTAAAATGGTGAAACCCGGTATCTACTAAAAAATACAAAAATTAGCCAGACATGGTGGTGAGCACCTATAATCCGAGCTACTCAGAAGGTTGATATGGGAGAATCGCTTGAGCTCAGGAGGCAAAGGTTGCAGTGAGCTGAGATCATATCACTGCACTCCAGCCTGGGTGACAGAGCGAGACTTTCTCAAAAACACAAACAAAACAAAAACAAAAAGATGAGTGATTACAGAAGTCAGGCCCCCCTCACCAGCTGTGGGCTATGTGGCAGATGGGGACAGGACTAAATGTACCTTCCCCATCCTGGATCCCTTCTTCTGGCATCTGATAGGGGCTCCAAAACATCTCTCTTTGTTTGTTTGTTTTGTTTTGAGACAGAGTCCAACTCTGTTGCCCAGGCTGGAGTGCAGTGGTGCAATCTTGGCTCACTACAGCCTCTGCCTCCTGGGCTCAAGCAATTCTCCTGCCTTAGCCTCCTGAGTAGCTGGGATTACAGGTGGGTACCACCACACCTGGCTAATTTTTATATTTTTAGTAGTGAATAAAAGACATTAAACATTGGGTTTCACCATGTTGGCCAGGCTGGTCTTGAACTCCTGACCTCAAGTGATCTAACTGCCTTGGCATTTCAAAGTGCTGCTATTACAGGCATGAACCACCATGCCCTGCCTCCAAAACATTGCAGGGTCCAGCCCTGCAGGGTATAGTGGGTGTTCTTTTGTGTGCAGAGATGACAGATTACAGGAAAGAAAGAAACAAGACCCAGAGATAGAAGAATTCATCTGACCACCGCTACCAAGGCATGGAGTCCAGTAGTGGCCCCAAATGCCAGAATGTGCTGATATTTATAGAATACAAGGCAGGGGAGCAGGGCCAGGAGAGTGACTCACCTGACATGATTGGTAGGGGTCTAGCAAATCACATTCTTACAATATGGGGGGCCACACTTGATACGGTATAGGGGGCCCCTAACTCTCAGGTAGCCGCAGCAAGGAGGGGAGGCACATATGTCAGTATCTTTCTATGCATTTATCAGAGAGATCAAAGGCTTTTAGGATTCCTCTATTCTTACTTCTTACAACTTCTAAGAATTTACAAAGGAGCATCGTGTGGGAAAGCGGAACATGAAAGTGGACAAGGATGGTGACCATTGGAGCACAGCACCGCGGAGAGGCATTTAAGCCCCTGGCTGTCTGCGGGCCGGCCCGGCTAGTGTCAGACCTTCCTTGAGAGCTGGGTGGAGCAGAGTGTTCTCTGAACTCCCCAGTGAAAGGGAAGTTCCCCTCACGGCCTGCTAAGCAACGGGCACCTCCCCAGGCACTGGCGCTACCGCAAGGCATTTGCTGTCATCTCCTGATCACTTCTCACAATTTCCCTTCAGTTCCGAATTATATTTCACCCGATTATTTCTGTACTATAAGGCTAAAAATGTTGCTACACCATAATACTAAAACAAAGGTCAATAATAGAGAATAATAATGTAATAAGACTGATTATATAATTGATTATGTGATTGTATTTAAGTCTATTTGGTGTCATTGCTATAACTAAGTAACAGTAAATATATTTGGTATGATTGCTGTATCTAAGTAATGGTTTATCATGCTGGGACAGATTGTGGCTTCAGTCTCTTGCCATGGCACCTGGGCAACTTTCTTCCCACAAAACATCTCTGTTGATGGAAGGAATCACCTTCAACCCCCTCCAGGCATGAGAGGTATAACCCGGGTTCCTGCTGTTTCAGGCTTCGGAAGGTTGGTGCGGATCTTCTTGGCAGACTCTCGGGGCTTTCACCGATTCATGGCCGCGGATCTGGAACACGAGGACATGGTGGAGACAGCTGTTTTTGGTACTGAGAACAACCTGATCATCACGGGGTCCCTTGATGCTCTGGTTCAGGTGAGAGGAGACCCAGGACCCTTCATCCTCACCTCCGACTCCAGAATAGACAATGTAATTTTTTTTTTTTTTTGAGATGGAGTCTTGCTCTGTTGCCAGGCTGGAGTGCAGTGGCACAATCTCAGCTTACTGCAACCTCCGCCTCGTGGGTTCCAGCGATTCTCCTGCCTCAGCCTCCCAAGTAGCTGGGATTAGAGGCACGCACCACCATGCCCAACTAATTTTTGTATTTTAGTAGAGACAGGGTTTCACCATGTTGGCCAGGATGGTTGTGATCTCCTGACCTCGTGATCCGCCTGCCTAGCCTCCTAAAGTGCTGGGATGACAGGTGTGAGCCACTGAGCCTGGCCAACAATGTGATTCTTTGGGGATTTTTGGCTGCAAAATACAGAAACCAAAAAAAAAAAAACAACGAGTGCAGGCAAAGTAGGTGAGTTCATTGAGAGGATATGAGGGTGTATCCTCAGCCCCAGTGGCAGACCTGGGTGGGAATTACTGAAATGTCCAACAAAGGAGGTGGCATTCCAAGCTGAGCCTCAAACCTCTGGGGCAGATTTGAGCTTTCAGAGTGGAGCAGGGTTGTGGGGGACAAAAATTCTCAATTTAAGTTCAAAGTTGTCCAAGCTAGCGAGGAAAGTACGTGGTGAAATAGCAGATCTTGCCGCACGGTGGCTCACGCCTGTAATCCCAGCACTTTGGGAGGCTGAGGCAGGCAGATCACAAAGTCAGGAGTTTGAGACCAGCCCGACCAACAAGGTGAAACTCCATCTCTACTAAAAATACAAAAAATTAGCTGGGCGTGGTGACATGCACCTGTAACTCCAGCTACGCAGGAAGCTGAGGCAGGAGAATTGCTTGAACCTGGGAGGCTGAGGTTGCAGTGAGCCGAGATCATGCCACTGCACTCCAGCCTGGGCGACAGAGTGACTCCATCTCAAAAAAAAAAAAAAAAAAAGCAGATCTTGCTGTGTTTTAGTCTCACACCTCTTGAAGTTCTTGCTTTTGTTTTGTTTTCTTTTTTGAGACGGAGTCTCGCTCTTGTTGCTCAGGCTGGAGTGCAATGGTGCGATCTCAGCTCGCCGTAACCTCCGCCTCCCGGGTTCAAGCGATTTTCCTGTCTCAGCCTCCCACGTAGCTGGGATTACAGGCATGCACCACCATGCCCAGATAATTTTTGTATTTTTAGTAGAAATAGGGTTTCTCCATGTTGGTCAGGCTGGTCTCGAACTCCTGATCTCAGGTGATCCACTTGCCTCAGCCTCCCAAAGTATTGGGATTATAGGCATGAGTCACCGTGCCTGGCCCAAAGTTCTTTTCTTTTCTCCTTCTTAGATCGATTTTTTTCAATTTTAAAGAAACTGACAAATAGGCTGTGCATAGTGGCTCACACCTGTAATCCCAGCACTTTGGGTGGCTGAGGCTGGTGGATCACTTGGGCCCAGGAGTCCAAGATCAGCCTTGGCAACATAGCAAGACTCTGTCTGTACAAAAATAAAAATAAAAAAATTAGCTAGGCATGGTGGCTCGTGCCTGTAGTCATAGTTACTCAGGAGGGCGAGGTGGGAGGATCACACGCATCTGGGAGGTCGAGGCTGCAGCGGGCTGTGATTACACCACTGCATTTCAGCCTGGGTGACAAGGCAAGACCTTATCTCCAAAAAATCAGAATAATTTTCTTTTTTCTTTTTTTTTTTTTTTTGAGACAGAGTCTTGCTCTGTCACCCAGGGTGGAGGGCAGTGGTGTGATCTTGGCTCACTACAACCTCTGCCTCCCGGGTTCAAGTGATTCTGCTGCCTCAGCCTCCCGAGTAGCTGGGATTACAGGCACCTGCTACCACGCCTAGCTATTTTTTGTATTTTTAGTAGAGATGGAGTTTCACCATATTGGCCAGGCTGATCTCGAACTCCTGACCTCATGTGATCAGCCCACCCTGGCCTCCCAAAGTGGGGTTACAGGCATGAGCCACTGTGCCTGGCTAGGATAAATATTTTTTTAAAAATTGAAAGTTTTGAGCTCCCAGACCCTCTAAAAAAAGTTTATAGGGTATCCTCCAGGGGTTCCCCGGAACACACTTTGAGAACTGCTCTGGTGGCTGCTGGGTTCAAGCCTGAGGAAGTTAAAGGGATGGGAAGATGTGAAGGCCCTTGAACTACAGCCTGAAATTCACCTTAGGTGTATGAATGGGACGAAGCGTATTTCTGAAATACGATTGTCCATGGAGGACGTCAGATCTGCCCTCCTGTTGTGCATCCCCAGGTGTGGAGTCTGTCAGAACAGGGGACCCTGCTGGACATCCTGGAAGGTGTTGGGGCCCCTGTGAGCCTGCTGGCCTGCTGTGGGGCTTTGGTGGCATCTGCTTCCTGGCAGTCCTCGTCTTTCAAGGTCTGGGATCTCAGCAACGCTCACAGGCCCCGGGCCCCTGCGCCGTTTCTGGACCGCACCGGCCTCACCGCAGTGTCCCACCATGGAAGCTACGTCTACTTCCCCAAAATTGGGGACAAAACCAAAGTCACTGTTTGGGACTTGGCAGAAGGTTGGTAAGGTATAAGTATGGCCATTTTTGTGGGTAAGACTTGGAGCCGTCTGTCTTCGTTTAGGCTGCTGTAACCAATTATCCCCAAAGGCCAGGCGCAGTGGCTCACATCCATAATCCCAGCACTCTAGGAGGCCGAGGCGGATGGATTGCTTGAGGTCAGGAGTTGAGACCAGCCTGGCCAACATGGCGAAACTGAGTCTCTACTAAAAATTCAAAAATTAGCCGGGCGTGGTAGCACGTGCCTGCAATCCCAGCTACTCAGGAGGCTGAGGCAGGAGAATTGCTTGAACCTGGGAAGCAAAGGCTGCAGGGAGCTGAGACTGCGCCATTGTACTCCAGCCTGGGTGACAGAGTGAGACTCTAGCTCAAAAAAATTTAAAAAATATCCCCATAGATTGGGCGGCATAAGCAACAAATATTGCTCAGCATTCTGGAGGCTGGGAAGTTGTAGATCTAAGTATAAGCAGCTCTGGCGTCTAGTGAAGAGGACCTGCTTCCTGGTTCACAGGTGGCCATTCTCAATGCATCCCCGAAGAGAGAGAAATCTCTTTTTCCCTTCTTATAAGGGCACCAATCCTATTCACGAAGTCCCCACCTTCCTGATCTAATCACTTCCCTGTCACCCTGCTACAGTTTGGAAGTTTGTCCCTACAAATCCGATGTTGACATTTAATATCCGGCTGGGCACAGTGGTTCAAACCTATAATCACAGGCCTCTGGAAGGCTGAGGCAGGAGGATCACTTGAGCTCAGGGTTCAAGAACAGCCTGGGCAACATGAGAGGACGCTGCTTCTACTAAAAATTTAAAAATTAGCCGGATGTAGTCGTGTATCCTTGCAGTGGCGTATGCTTGTAGTGGTGTATGCTAGCTATTTGGGGGGCGAGGTAGGAGGATCGTTTGAGCCTGGGAAGTTGAGGCTACAGGGAGCCATTGTACCACTGTATGTCAGCCTGGGTGACAGAGCAAGACTCTGTCTCTAAAAGCGAAAAAAAGCCAGGCATGGTGGAGTGCAGTGGTGTGATCTCAACTCACTGCAACCTCTACCTCCTGGGTTCAAGTAATTGTCCTGCCTCACCCTCCCTTCCAAGTAGCTGAGATTACAGTTGCCTGCCACCACGCCTGGCTAAGCTTTGTATTTTTAGTGGAGACGGGGTTTTGCCATGTTGGCCAGGCTGGTCTCGACTCCAGACCTCAGGTGATCCACCCACCTTGGCCTCCCAAAGTGCTGGGATTACAGGCATGAGCCACTGCCCCGCCATTAACAAGGAGTTTCTATACCTCTACCCCCCCAGCAGCACTGTGCCAAGTACTGTTGGTGAGAAACTCAGAAATCCCTCACTGTCTGATTCTCAAAGACCCAAGGGTGCCACACCTTCATGTTACTCCTGGGAATTGATGAAAGAAGCCTCTTATCTGGAAATGGCAGGGGGATGTGACCACCTCCCCTGAAATGGCCCCAGTCAAGGACTGCCTGATATAGGAGTACAAAAGTCTGGTCCCCTTGCTTCAAGATGGGACAGTTCGTGGTAGCTCATGCCTGTAATCCCAGTACTTTGGGAGGCCAAGGTGGGAGGATTGCTTGAGCCCTGGAGTTTAAGACTAGCCTGGACAACATGGCGAAATCCTGTCTCTGCAGAAATTACAGAAATAAGCTGGGCGTGGTGGCCGGAGCCTATAGTCCCAGTTACTTGGGGGGCTGAGGTTGGAAAATCGCTTGAGGCTGGGAGGGTGAGGCTGCAGTGAGCCATGATCATGCCACTGCACTCCAGCCCGGGCAACAGAGTGAGACTCCATTTCTAAAAAATAAATAGGCTGGGCACGATGGCTTATGCCTGTAATTCCAGCACTTTGGGAGGCCAGGGCAGGTGGATCACTTGAGGTCAGGAGTTTGAGACCAGTCTGGCCAACATGGTGAAACCCCATCTTTACTAAAAATACCCCAAAATTAGCTGGGCATGGTGGCACATACCTATAGTCCCAGCTACTCAGGAGGCTGAGGTGTGAGAATTGCTGGGACTTGGGAGGCAGAGGTTACAGTGAGCCAAGATTGCACCACTGCACTCCAGCCTGGTGACAAAGTGAAACTCCATCTGAAAAAAAAAAAAATTAGTAGGGTGTGGTGGCAGGTGCCTGAGTCCCAGCTACTCAGGAGGCTGAGGCAGAAGGATCAGTTGAATCCAGGATTTGGAGGCTGCAGTGAGTTGTGATCACACCACTGCACTCCAGCCTGGTGAACAGAGCAACTGTCTCAAAAAACATTTTTTAAACCCTTAAAAATATGATCACCAAGCCAGGCGCGGTGGCTCACGCCTATAATCCCAGCACTTTGGGAAGCTGAGGCAGGAGGATCACCTGAGGTCAGGAGTTTGAGACCAGTCTGACCAACATGGAGAAACCTCCTCTCTACTAAAAATACAAAATTAACCAAGCATAGTGGCACATGCCTGTAATTAATCCCAGCTACTCGAGAGGCTGAGGCAGGAGAATCGCTTGAACCCGGCAGGCGGAGATTGCAGCGAGCCAAGATGGTGCCACTGCACTCCAGCCTGGGCAGCAGAGCAAGACTCTGTCTCAAAAAAAAAAGAATGCCAGGGAAGCAGTGCCGCTGTGATTCATTCTCAGTATGAGTAATTCTCATTTTTTCTTCCTGCCAGGTGAGGAACAAGATTCCCTGGACACCTCCAGTGAGGTCAGGTGTCTGGAGGTCGCTGAGCAGCACAAGCTCCTGTTCACTGGCCTCATGTCGGGGGTTGTCCTTGTGTTCCCCCTGAATTCCAGGCAGGACGTGATATGCATTCCCCCTCCCGAGGCCCGGAAAGCAATCAGCTGCATGTCCCTGAGCAAGCACGAGGACCGCCTGGCCATCGCCTATGACAACATCGTCCTGGTGCTGAACATCAGCCCCGGGGACCCCTGCCCGCTCATCGATGGCCCAAGGTATACCTTTTATACCCAGCCGCCCGAGACCATCTCCAATGTGGCTGTTCTGACGGACTACCACGTGATCTACAGCATGACCAACGGGGACCTCTTTCTTTACGAGTGTGCAAATTCCAAAGCGTTTCCCTTGGAGGCCCACAGGAGCCGAGTCACGTGTGTGGAGGTCAGCCACAAGGAGCAGCTGCTGGCCAGTGGGTCTGAGGATGCCCTGCTGTGTCTCTGGGACCTACAGGCATGTAAGCGGAAATTCGAGATGAACTACACGGTGCGTGGCCTGCCTCCCCATGTTTCCTAGACCCAGGCTTTGGAAAACCAATAGACAGTTACCATTTACTAAGTACACGCCATGGGCCATCGACCTGGGTGGGACTAAGGTGAAGAAAGTGAGGCACTTGGTCAGGCGCAGAGGCTTATACCCTGTAATCCCAGCACTTTGGGAGACTGAGGTGGGTGGATCACCTGATATCGGGCGTTTGAGACCAGCTTGGCCAACATAGTCAAACCCTGTCTTTACTAAAAATACAAAAATTAGCCAGGCCTGGTGTTGCATGCTTGTAATCCCAGCTACTCAGGAGGCTGAGGCAGGAGAATTGCTTGAACTTGGAGTAGAGGTCGCAGTGAGCCAAGATCATGCCACTGCACTCCAGCCTGGGCAACAGACACTCCATCTAAAAAAAAAAAAAAAAAAAAAAAGAAAAGAAAGTGAGGCATTTGTCTCAGGAGCAAAGTTTTTTGTTTTTGTTATTGTTTTCGTTTGTTTGTTTTTTGAGATGGTGTCTCGCTCTGTCACCCAGACTGGAATGCAGTGGTACAATCTCAGCTCACGGCAACCTCTGTCTCCCGGGTTCAAGTGATTCTCTTGCCTCAGCCTCCCAAGTAGCTGTGATTACAGGTGTGTACAACCACACCCGGCTAATTTTTGTATTTTTAGTAGAGATGGGGGTTTCGTTGTCAGGCTGGTCTCGAACTCCTGACCTCATAATCCGCCCGCCTTGGCCTCCCAAAGTGCTGGGATTACAGGTTTGAGCCACTCTACCTGGCCAAGAAAGAATATTTTAATGCAATATTTAAAAAAAATCTAAAATGAATACCAAAATTCCATGCAGACAAAATGTCAACATTATAGGTAAAAACTGGATCAAATGCTGCACCCCTTTGAGACTGTTTCACTCTTCCCCGTAATCCTGGCTCTGTGCTGTTTCTTTATCCAACTGATATTTATTGAACAGCCTCTGCCAGCCCCCTTTTTATTACCGAGGAAGCAGCTGTGACGAGGGAGACACTATCCCATGTCCTGAAGCCATTTTCCACTAGTTGGGGAGACACAGTGAGCTCTCTCTGTCTGGGCAAAAGGTTTTTTTTTTTTTTTAATTTATATGTATATATATATTTTCTTTTATAGAGATGGGGTTTCACCATGTTGGCCAGGATGGTCTCGATCTCCTGACCTCATGATCCACCCACCTCGGCCTCCCAAAGTGCTGGGATTACAGACATGAGCCACTGTGCCCAGCCCCACAAAAGATTTTTTTTTCTGTGTTTTGCTCACTGAAGTTTCCCTTGCTCCTCGGAGAGCGCCTGACATTTCCTTAATGCCCAGTAAATGGCAAGGGCTGCTGCTTAAGAATGCCATGTAAGGCCGGGGGCTGTGGCTCATGCCTGTAATCCCAGCACTTCGGGAGGTTGAGGCAGGCAGATCACTTGAGGTGAGGAGTTCAAGACCAGCCTGGCCAACATGGTGAAACCCCGTCTCTACTAAAAATACAAAAATTAGCCGGGCGTGGTGGCACACACCTGTAATCCCAGCTACTTGGGAGGCTGACGCAGGAGAATCGCTTGAACTTGGGAGGTGGAGGTTGCAGTGTACAATCTGATTGTGTTGCTGAGCACAATCTGGCTCAGCCAAGATTGTGCCATTGCACTCCAGCCAGGGAAACAAGAGTGAAATTCTCAGAAAAAAACAATAATGAGAAAAGAAAAAAGAAATTGAATCCTGCAATTGCTCCTTTCCAATGCAAAATGTCTCTAAACCTTTCTATCCAACCTCTATGGAGGTGTGCCTGGATTGGGGTAACATCTGTGCTGTTCATCTCTCCAGGATTTCACTGGATCCATCCCCCTGTGGGGTGCTTCAAAGCCTGGTTCCAAGGTCAGGAGTTTGGGACTAGCCTGGCCAACATGGTGAAACGCCATCTCTATTAAAAATACAAAAATTAGCTGGGAATGATGGCAGGAGTCTGTAGTCCCAGCTACTTGGGAGGCTGAGGCAGGAGAATTGCTTAAACCCAGGAGGCAGAGGTTGCAGTGAGCTCAGATCAGCCTGGGTGACAGAGCAAGACTCCATCACTCACACACACACACACACACACACACACACACACACACACACACACGCTGGGCCTAGCGGCTCACGCCCATAATTTCAGCACTTTGGGAGGCCAAGATGGGCAGATCACTTGGTCTCAGTTTGCAACCAGCCTTGGCAACATGGTGAAACTCTTTCTCTACTAAAATTACAAAAATTAGCCAGGCGTGGTGGCACACACCTGTAATCCCAGCTATTGAGAGGCTGAGGCAGGAAAATAGCTTGAACCCAGGAGGTGGAGGTTGTAGTCAAGCTGAGATGGCACAGATGGCACCACTGCCCTCCAGCCTGGGTCAGACCTGTCTCACTGCAAAAAAAAAAAAAAAAAGAAGGTCTGGTTCCTTGGGGAAGGTTTCCTGGGTGTCTTTCAGTTTGGAATCAAGTTCATATTGTCCGGCTCAGACACAGCGATTCACACCTGTAATCCCAGCACTTTGGAAGGCTGAGGCTGGTGAATCACTTGAGGTCGGGAGTTGGAGACCAGCCTGGCCAGCATGGTGAAACCCCGTCTCTACTAAAAACACAAAAAATAGCCGGGTGTCATGGCTCATGCCTGTAATCCCAGCTACTTGGGAGGCTGAGGCGGGAGAATTGCTTGGGAGGTGGGAGGCGGAGGTTGCAGTGAGCTGAGATTGCACCATTGCACTCTAGCCTGGGCAACAAGAGTGAAACTCCATCTCAAAAAAAAAAAAAAAAGAGAGAACATATTGTCTGTTTTCAACAGAGTTCTTACTGCAGAGGGGTCCAATGTGCTTGCTTCTCTAAGGATGACAAGTACGTATACGTGGGCTTAAAGGATCGCTCCATACTTGTCTGGAGTGTGCTGGACGGTGAGTCATTTTGCTTTTATGGCAGGATTGAGCTTCGATCTGGAGATAAAAAGCTCTGACCTGGGTCTTGGGTATTAGAGGGCCCCACTCTGGCCACCTCGAGCTGCATCCCTCAGCTTTTAGGAAGGTGTCTGCATGCAAAGGCAATGGGCCCACAATCCCTCTTCTAGACCCATGCTCTGGAGTTCAAGAACTCCCTCCCTCTATAGCCTTCAGTTTTCATTAGGGCATGCACAGGCTTCCTGCATGCAGCCATCCTTCTGAGATACACTGTGACCCTGGTGTATGCACTTCTGGGCTCAGGAGTAGCCATGGGGTGGTGTGGATGGAGTTTGGGTGTCTCAGCTGGTTGTGAGATGGAGCTGGGAAGAGTGAGAAGAGAAGAGGGTCAAGTCACTAGTAGCAGGGGGCTGTTTACATCACTACATTCCAGCATAGAACCCTGAGGAGCCCAAGAATTCTCAATCTGACCCCGCCTTCCAGGTGTTTGTGAAGGTTCCTTCATCAATATAGGAGAACACGACATGTTTTTTATTTAATAGTTTATTCCCTAGAATTGCAATGTTTATATATTGTATCTTCTAGGATGTGGGTCTTAATTCATTCTTTCCCCCCGGCCTTATACATTTTAGAAGCAGCCTGTTTAAAGACCAACCACTTGGAAAACACCATGTCTTTTGGTCTGTTGAGTATTATGCTAAGGTCTTAGCAAGGGTTAACATTGGCCAGGTGCAGTGGCTCATACCTACAATCCCAGCACTTTGGGAGGCTGATGTAGGAGGATTGCTTGAGGCCAGGAGTTCAAGACTAGTCTGGACAACATAGCAAGACCCTGTCTCTAAAAAAAAAAAGAAAAAAAAAAAAAGGAGGGGTAAACCGGCCCAGGTCGGAAATAGAGCAGGTCAAAACTCCTGTGTTGATCAGTAGTGGCATTGCACCTATGAATAGCCCCTGCACTCCAGCCTGGGCAATATAGCAAGACCCCATCTCTAAGAAATAAAAATACGAATAATTTAAAAATTAAAATTAACCAGGCATAGTGGCACATGTGTGTAGTCCCAGCTACTCAGGAGGATAAAGTGAGCATGGGAGGTCGAGGCATGGGAGATCAAGGCTGCAGTGAAACATGATAGCACCACTGCACTCCAGCCTGGGCAACAGAGTGAGACCCTGTCAAAAAAAAAACCTAACATTTATTGTATACTGGGTACTGTCCTTAAGTCATTTAACTTTCTCAACACTCACTCCCATTTTACAGAGCAAAAACAGGCTCTGAGAGGCTGGCCGACTTGTCCAAGGTCACACAGTGAGTAACTAGTAGGCTGAGGTTTGAAGTTGATCTGCCTGATCTCAGTATGCCTTTGTCACTTTCTTACACTTTCTCCTATGGAAAAGGCGCTCATTGTGTATTACCTCTCTGAACCCTTATGATACTGGTAGGAGATAAATATCATTGCTATCCTTGTTTGACAATGAAGAAGCTGAGGCTCAGAGAGGTTAGGAGACTTGCCCCAGGTCACAAAAGAAGTAAGTGGCTGAATGAATGTCAGGTGGAGCCTAATACATTGTAGTCGAATATGCTGTAATTTGATACATAGTAAACTATAACACTATAATACATTGTAGTATAGCATGCTGTAGCAAAGATATATATAACCGGTATAAAGTACAGATGGCTCAGAAGCTGAAGGTTGAGGATTGTGGCCTTAAAAGCCCATCCTAGGCCAGTTCACAATCTCTATTCTTTCTCCTTTGACAATAATATTTACTGAGCTTACTCTGGGCCAAAAACCTGTATTAAACACATGACCTGCGTGATGCCTTCCAATCTCAAAAATCCCTCTGGGCAGGGGTAAGATCTGTTATCATTCTCATTGTGCAGATAAAGCAAGAGGGACCCTTTGGGATGATAAATGTCATGCCAAAGTTAATAAGGGGCATAACAGGAATCTGATCCCATGCAGCCAACTCTAGAATGTATAGGATTGGACCTATACACCCCATTTTTCTCATTTGTGTCCTTCTCTTCACCCTTACAGGCACCCTACTGACAGTCCAGTTTGTCCATGCTGTGGTAAACAGAATCATCCCAACCATCAGTGGCTTCATTGCCCCCACCAGGCATGGTTATCTGATCCGAGAGCGTTTCCAGTGCCTTTTAGCAAGAGCATCACAGCAGGACCCTCACAAGAACTTCAAGAAGGCAGTGTGGATGGTCAAATCCAGGCAGAGAGAGGCGCTAGCAGCAGCTGCAGGAGCATCCCAGGACTTGGAGTCAGAGAGTGCCCAAGGAAATGAATCCAAGTCAAACAAATGTTCACAAGTCTGCCTGATAGTGTAAAAAAAAAAAAAAACAAAAAAAACCCTGTGGGGGTATAACCTCCAATGACTTAACCCCATTTAATCTGGTTAAAGCAAAAAGAATATGTTTGCTGGCGTATATTTGGACCCATGGCTTCAGATTACATGACCCGGACCTTGCCTCTTCCCATTTTTTCCATTCTTCTTTTCTCTTTGTCATTTTCTTTCTTTCTTTTTGTTTGGCAGGAGCAGAAGCCTCAATCTTTGTCATTTTCGTTCTCAGACTTGCCACCCCAAGTTAGCAACATGGTGGCCAATATGCTGTCTCCAATTTCAGCAGAAAAGAGAGCTTCTCTTCCTACAGTCCCAGCCTCCACTTTGTTGGTACCAGTTGGCCCATATGCCTAGCCCTAAACCAACTGTTATCTCTGGAAGAATGCAGAGCTCTAATTGGCTGGACTGACCCAATGTCCACCACTGGGAGTGAAAATAGAAGAGATTATTCCTGAGACCCAAACTAGGGTTCTGGTACCAGGTGAAGGGGGAATGGATGAATGTGAGACAGAACAAACCACTGATGTGGACCACAGAACTTCACAGTTTATAAAGCATTAGATACTGTGATCTGATCCTCATCACAGCCCATATTTTAGGGAAGGCAGGAGTATCTGCGTCTATTTTATGGATAAGGAAACTGAGCCTTGCAGAAGTAGTTATGATTTAATTCAGGTCACAAGCCCAAGGTGCAAGGGATCTAAGAGCAAGCCTTCTGTCCCATTCCTGTTAGACCTTACTCCAATTTCAGTCTCCAAAACACAACCATCTCTTCCATAGGTGCCACACTCAAATGCTCACAGGAGCTAGTGACTAATCTAGGTACTTCCATACACCTGAGTGAGCAGCAGGGCGAGATGGAGACTGGGCCTGTGGAAGGCAGAGATTGTGCCTTGGGTGGGTGTGAACAGCCTGACTCTAGCCCAGAATCGCCATGGCAAAACCGGCCCTCTTCCATCAGTGCTTTCAATTGTAATAAGCAAAGCCAGAAATCCAGACTTTTATGCAAAAATCTTCTGCCTTTTAAAGTTGGCGATTGGTTTAATTTGTATCTATAGGGCATTTGGCAAGTGCGTCTTTGGTTAATGAGCTGACTTCAAGGCTCAAGCTGGCAGTAAACCATCAACATGCTATAGTTCTTCCATCTCTATTCCCTGGCTCCCGAACTTTTGGGATAAAGATGTGGTTTTTTTCATCTTAAAAACTGAAGGCTCTTGGAAGTAGGAAGAGCTGCTGACATCTCCCTGCTTTGCTTTTGAACCATCTGCCTCATGCAAGTTCAACAGTCAAATTGTTTTCTTTCCACTTAAGTGGATTTTTCTTCTTTGCCCACAGCCTTCTAAAAGCCTTCTCAGTGTTCTCAGGCTTTTGCTTTAATGCTAGGGGAGTCTAAATCTTTAAGGTGGCTATTCCTCCTCCCCTCTGTGAAATTCTGACAGAGTCTCAGAAAAAGCAACCATAGAAACAGAGGCTTTTGAGCTGAACAAGACCTTACTCCTATCTTACTCATTCATTTTCCAAACCAGGTTTCTAAGGCAGGTTTTGGCAGTTCTGCAAATGTTAGTGTCAAATTTCATTTAAAAATATTTTAAACTGTAATGTTAAAATGTATGCTTGGATGTATTGGGCAGCAGCTTTTAAGGTGTTGAAGATTACTAAGGTTGGTGCAAAAAGTAATTGCGGGTTTTGCCATTAAAAATAATAGCAAAAAACAGCCACACAGGGTCATGCCTGTGGTCCCAGCACTTTGGGAGACCGAGGCGGGTGGAGCACGTGAGGTCAGGAGTTCAAGACAAGCCTGCACAACATGGTGAAACCCTATCTCTACTAAAAATACAAAACTTAGCTGGCTGTGGTAGTGGGCACAGCTACTTGAGAGGCTGAGGCAGGAGAATCGCTTGAGCCTAGGAGGTGGAGGTTGCAGTGAGCCAGGATTGTGACTTCTCAAAAAAATAATGGCAAAAACCTCAGTGGCTCACACCTGTAATCCCAGCACTTTGCGAGGCTGAGGCTGGCAGATCACTTGAGACCAGGTGTTCAAGACTAGCCTAGTCAACATGGTGAAACCCCATTTCTACTAAAAACACAAAAATTAGTTGGGTGTGGTGGCATGTGCCTGTAATCCCAGCTACTTGGGAGACTGAGGTATAAGAATTGCCTGAACCCGGGAGGCGGAGATAGCAGTGAGCCGAGATCACGCCACTGCACCTGAGCTTGAGTGACAGTGAGACTCTGTCTCCAAGTAATGGCAAAAACCACAATGATTTTTGCACCAACCTAATAATTTAGGATTTTTCTGCCATTTTCATTTAACCGACGAGCCCATTTGAATTGTGAAGGGAGTTCTTGAAAAAATCAGCTACTCTTTGCCACTGCTTCTCTGTGAATCAAGGGCTTACTCAATGCAGAAATAAAGTGGATGTTGAGACCCCCTAAGATTTCATCTACAGGCCAGGTGCAGCATCTCATGCCTATAATCCCAGCACGTTGGGAGGCTGAGGCAGGTGGATCACCCAAGATCAGGAGTTCTAGACCAGCCTGACCAATATGGTGAAACTCTGTCTCTACTAAAAATACAAAAATTAGCTGGGCATAGTGGTGTGCACCTGTAGTCCCAGCTACTTGGGAGGCTGAAACAGGAGAATTGATTGAATCTGGGAAGCAGAGGTTGCAGTGAGCTGAAATGGAGCCACTGTACTCCAGCCTGAGTGACAGAACAAGATTCTGTCTCAAAAAAAAAAAAAAGATTTCATTTACAAATTCTGATTTTAAATATCTGTGTCCATCTCAACAGCCTCAGCGAGAATCAATTGTTTTGTAGGTAAATCCTAATTCGAACATTGGAAATAACTTTTACTAATAAAATGCTACACCAAATTATTGCTTATATTGGGGATTTTCGGGGTGTTTATTCATTTGAAAAAGAGTGTGGCTGCTAAGAAAGTTTGACACTTGGCTGGTCAATGCTTGTAATCCCAACACTTTGAGAGGCCAAGGCAGGAGGATCGCTTGAGTCCACGAGTTTGAGACCCCATCTCTACAAAAAAATATATTTTTTTAAATTAGCTGGTGTTGGAAATAGATGTTCAGTGCCACAAAGAAAAATTAGCACTGAGACAAAGGATTTTTCAGCAATGAAACCTTTACCTCTTGGACTGCACGATGGCTACCTCTCTCACTAGCCATCTTGGAACGAGAGTGCAAAGAACAAAGGAAAACAGACAAATTTATTCCTTACGCATTTGGGGCCGTCCTTACTGCTGTGTCTGATCTCCGTTGGCTGGAGCCAGACCTCACAATCTAAACCGATTGGCTAATAACTTAAAACTTTTCTAAACAGGTAAAAGCAATGGAGAGCTGGGACATGCCTGTGAGCACGTCCAGCACAGATATCTTGGTTAAAGTACAAGGACGTAGAATGTACTATGTGCCTGTAAGCATGGCATGTCTAACAGCTACATAGGATAGAGCTTATCAAAGAGTTATTAGCACACTTATGATTTACTCTTGAACAAGAAAGGAAACTGAAGAGGAAAAAAATTTTTTTTTTTTGAGACAGAGTTTCCACTCTTATTACCCAAGCTGGAGTGCAATGGTGCAATCTCGGCTCACCGCAACCTCTGCCTACTGGGTTCAAGCAATTCTCCTGCCTCAGCCTCCCGAGTAGCTGGGACTACAGGCGTGTGCCACCACGCCCAGCTAATTTTTGTATTTTTAGTAGAGACGGGGTTTCATCATGTTGACCAGGATGGCCTCGATTTCTTGACCTCGTGATCCACCCGCCTCGGCCTCCCAAAGTGCTGGGATTATAGGCGTGAGCCATTGCACCTGGCCATGAAGAGGAACTTTTTTGCTTCCCACAGCTGGGCATGGTGGTGCGCACCTGCAGTCCCAGCTACTCGGGAGGCTAAGGCGGGAGGATCACTTAAGCCCAGAAGATCAAGGTTGTAATGAGCTATGATCGCACCACTGCACTCCAACCTGGGCAAGGAAGTGAGATCCTGTCTCAAAAAAAAAAAAAAAAATTTTTTTTTTGGCTGGGCTCGGTGGCTTATGCCTGTAATCCCAGCACTTTGGAAGGGTAAGGTGGGTGGATCATGAGGTCAGGAGATTGAGACCATGCTGGCCAACATGGTGAAACCCCGTCTCTACTAAAACACACACACACACACACACACACACACACACACTCACACACACACACAAAACTAGTCGGGTACGGTGGCATGCACCTGTAGTCCCAGCTACTTGGAAGGTTGAAACAGGGGAATTGCTTGGACCCAGGAGGCGGAGGTTGCAGTGAGCGAGATTGTGCCACTGAACTCCAGCCTGGGTAACTGAGCAAGACTCTATCTCAAAAAGAAAAAAAAAAAAATTTAAGGGGTGCCAAAAAGCTCAGTAATCACAACTAACAATATTTTCTCTTTTTTTCTTACATTTTTTCTTTTGGAAGACAAATAATATTTTATTATCTTTTTTTTTTTCTTTTTGAGACAGAGACTCGCTTTGTTGCCCAGGCTGGAGTGCAGTGGTGTGATCTCGGCTCATTGCAACCTCTGATTTGCGGGTTCAAGTGATCCTCCTGCCTCAGCCTCCCAAGTACCTGGGACTACAGGCGTGCACCCCTATGTCCAGCTAATTTTTGCATTTTTAGTAGAGACAGGGTTTCACCATGTTGGCCAGGATGGTCTCCATCTCTTGATCTCGTGATCTGCCTCCCTCAGTCTCCTAAAGTGCCGGGATTACAGGTGTGAGTCACTGTGCCCAGCCCAAAAATATTTCTAATCTGGCCCTTTACCAAAATATATATATGTGTGTGTGTGTGTGTGTGTGTGTGTATACACACATATACATATACATATGTGTGTATATATATATATATACACACACACTTATATGTATATATGCCTACCCTTGGTCTTAAAGCCTAATTAAATTTAGGGTAAACATTTTTCATACAGGCTTTCTATTTTTAGAGTAGTTTTAGGTTCACAGCAAAATTAAGTGGAAGGTGCAGAGATTTCCCATCTACTCCCTGCCCCCACTCATACGCAGCCCCCCTCAACATCCCTCACTCTAGCAAATGCAGAGCGGTGAATTTGCTATAATGGATGAACCCACATTGACACATCCTTATCACGGGATAGACTTTTTTTTTTTGAGACAGAATCTGACTGTCACCCAGGCTGGAGTGCAGTGGTGCAATCTCAGCTCACTGCAACCTCCACCTCCTGGATTCAAGCAGTTCTCCTGCCTCTGCCTCCCAGGCAGCTGGGATTACAGCCACCACACCTGGCTAATTTTTGTATTTGTAGTAGAGACACTAAAAGAGAAACATGGTTTCGCCATGTTGGCCAGGGTGGTCTCAAAATCCTGGCCTCAAGTGATTCACCTGCCTTGGGCTACCAAAGTGCTGGGATTATAGGCGTAAGCCACTGCACCTGGCCCAGGATAGGCATTTTTGACAAGTATACTTCATAGGTGTGTTCATTCTCTATCAGTACTTAGGAAATTATTGCACACTTAGCAACTTAAATAACTTCTTCTTCTTTTTTTTTTTTTTTTTTTTTTGAGGCGGAGTTTCGCTCTTGTTACCCAGGCTGGAGTGCAATGGTGCGATCTCGGCTCACCGCAACCTCCGCCTCCTGGGTTCAGGCAATTCTCCTGCCTCAGCCTCCTGAGTAGCTGGGATTACAGGCACGCACCACCACGCCCAGCTAATTTTTTGTATTTTTAGTAGAGACAGGGTTTCACCATGTTGACCAGGATGGTCTCGATCTCTTGACCTCGTGATCCACCCGCCTCGGCCTCCAAAGTGCTGGGATTACAGGCGTGAGCCACCGCGCCCAGCTGTTTTTTTAAGACTCAGTCTCACTCTTGTCTGCCAAGCTGGAGAGCAATGGCACGATCTTGTATCAATGCAACCTCCGCCTCCTGGGTTCAAGTGATTCTCCTGCCTCAGCCTCCTGAGTAGCTAGGAGTATAGGCACCCACCACACCCAGCTAATTTTTGTATTTTTTGTAGAGACAGGGTTTCACCATGTTGGCCAGGATGGTCTGGAACTCCTGATCTCAGGTGATCCGCCCGCCTTGGCCTCACAAATTGCTGGGATTACAGGCGTGAGCCATCGCATCTGGCCAACATCCACTTTTTAGAACTTCTGCAAGTCAGGAGTCTGGGCATGGCATGACTGGTTTCTTTTT